CCTTCAAACTGATTGAAAGAGATACGTGGGTAAACAACACATTCTCGGCAGTGGAATGCATTGCCACCAACTGTAATGGAAGCAAAGACCTTGTAAGATTATAAATGGCGGGTTAGAGGGGAGGACAGATACAGTACATTATACAAACTAAATGCTGCTTTGAGCAAAGCATGGCAACACCCAAACAAACAAGTGCAAAATATCATTTGTAAGGAACATGAAGCTTCCCTCTTCATGATCCAGAGCTAAGCTCACCTCTCACAGATAGGGATTAGGAAGGGACTTTCATTACGGGGAGGGTATTTTGTAACTCCTTGCTCCAGGACCTTTTGCACCTTCCTCTGACATAGCTGGCATTGGCCATTGTCACAATCAGGGTGCTCAATTGTGTGAGCCAAGCAACTGATCTGGATGAGTTGTTCTGTTCCTGTGAATTAAAGACTTGGTAATACCTCGTTGACCACATTGAGAAAGTATTTTATTAAGATTTTTTAGACAAATGGGTTCTTTATTTGCATTCTATTTAGAGTTTAGAAATGAACTGCATGCCTTATTGTACAGGTTCTGTATTCCCCTTCTTCCATTTCTTATTTTTAAAAACACTGTATATAAACAGGGCCATATGTTCTCTGATGCTTATTACCTACATGAAATCATACTGATCTCTTTGTGAAATCACATTTGTCTGCTGTGGGGATCATTATATCATAAACAGGACATAATTCAGGAGGGGAATAAGAAGCTGGAACAGATGGACTCCTTGAAAACAAAAGGATGCTTTTCTCATGCATATGTCCTGAATGCTAAAGTAAAAGCAAGAAGAAAGAAAGTATCATAATCATGCAGAATGTCACACTAGTTTAACTGCAATATCCTTATTGTTCTGTTGAGGAGGGTCAGAACTTGCTAATACTTGTGCCTGTGTCTAATGCTTGCTAAGGAGATTCTCAATTTTCTGTTTAGGGGAAAGCAGCCTTAGGGAGAGCCCAGATCTGGTCCTAAATGTGAAAAAGAAGATAAATGTCTTATTGGACCACAGCAATAATCAAATTAAAGTGTAAAGATTAATTTTATCATTTAGGAGAAACATTTTTTCCCCTTCTGCTTCTTGTTTAAGGATTTTGACACGCTTATCAACGTTATTGCCACACTTTTGCGTCTCATAAAATACTAACGCATATTTTCCTTTGGGGAAAGTCTAGAATAAGTCGTCTGTGAGCAGCACTGAATATTTGCCTCTCAGGATGTGTTCAGTGTGATACTGGTATGTGTATGGAGAGGAGTGAAGTTGTCTTGGTTGTGTGAGAGATTCAGAGCTGGGAATTTAAGGCTATGTTAGACACAGTGGGCACATCTACACAAAATGCTTTACAGCATAGCAGGCTAATATGCTGTGCAGTAAAGGGTCACTGCCTACACGTGTGTTTTAATTAGAACACAGTAGATTAATTTACTGTGCTGCCTGATAGTTACATCAGAAACTCCTGGAAGATAGTTTCAGGCTGAACATTAGGGAAAACTTCTTTACAACTAGGGTGTCCAGACTATGGAACAAGCTCCCCCCAGAGGTGGTGCAATCATCTACCCTAGAGGTCTTCAAGAGAAGACTGGATGGTCACCTGGCTGGGGTGGTCTGACCCCAGATGTCTTTCCTGCTCATGCAGGGGGCTGGACCCAATGATCCTTCGGGGTCCCTTCCAGCCCTATGATTCTACAAGTGGTATCCAGCAGCGCAGTAAATTCCTGTGCTTAAAGGCAAGCATAGACAATGTCAGGATTAGTTTAGTCAAGCTCAAATTGAGCCAGAATATATTCAGTCACATTAACTGTACGTGCAGATGTACCCAGGGATGCCCAATCCTAGTGCCATCATTTACTCAGTGTCAGGGAAAGATAGGAGAAGCCTGATATGGCATTAAATGTCACTGGGTGCATTTACACGAGATGCTTTAAGCGCAGTAGACTAATTATACTGTGCATTAGCATGGCAGGCAAAAACTGAGCTAATGTGCAGTAGAATTAATCTACTGCGCATTAGCATCACCAAAAAAGTGTGCACTGGTACTAAGGCGCAGTAGCACCAATTACGGTGCATTAAGGTAGTACCTGGAATTACAGATACAAAACTTAATGTGCCATGATTACAGTGCATTAATGAAATGTGAGAGGCTAAGGCCCACATTTTTGGCCATTTTGAGCAGTCAACTTTATTGTTATAGTTTATTGTCTGTATTGTACTGGCAACTAGAGACCCTTCACCCCAGATGAAGGCCCATTGTGCTAGCCACTGTACAGATGTACATAGTTACAGATATTCTCTACTCTAGAGACTTCACAATCTCAGTTGGCAAGATGAACAAAACATGGGAAAAAGGCAACAACCATATCCCAGATTTAGTGTAAATGATTTTTACTAAGGGCAGCTACACAAGATTCAGTAGAAGTGGGATTAGAGCTCAGGGCTGACCTGACTTGCCCAGTCCCATGCATAGTCCTTTGCCCCATGCTAACTCTCCATAGTCAGAGGGCGCAGCAGCTGAATCACAGCATGACTTCAATATACTGGTATTGACATTTTTTGTACATCACTGGGACAAATGGTGGTAGTAGTGGTGGGGGGTGATAAAGCAAGGTTCAGTGAAAGAAGGGCAGATTTCAGTTAGACAAAAAAAGTATGTCAAGCAGAGTGACTTAGAATGAATTGTCCAACAGCCCATTTGGGCCTCTTCTCATTGATTTCATTGTACTGCTGAGATGTCCAGGCTCAGCCCAAGAGCTCAGTCATACACTGCAGCCTTAAAAGGACTCTCTGCCATAAAATCTGCCCTACACTTCTAGGTCCTATATTTTGCTTTTTTTGTGTGTGCATCCAATCCTAATCCCTTCAGTTGTAGAGACATCTGGACTAGGGCTAGAGAAAACGCCTCAACTCCCAAATCTCATGCTGTCTCCCAGCCTGCCTCTTTCAGCTCTCATTTCCCACTCCTCTCTCCTTCAGCTGACATGTCCTTCCAGCTCTCATTTCCCACTCCTGCAAAACATGGCTATTAATACTGCCTTATTTCACGGAGCTGTGACAAGGTGGGACTAGTTAACGTACATATAGATCTCTCCAGTGTATGTTAACAACCCTTGCATGGGTGGGACAGGGACAGCATTCTTGCCCCATTTTGCCTGTGGCAGGTCAGGGTGGCTCTGGGGCAACATGCCTGATGGTTGTGCAACAGTTGTGCAGTTTTAGGAATGGGTTAGACAAGGCTTTATATGGGTTAGTTTAGAGCAGCGGTGCTTAACCCTTTGGCCCTGAGTGGCGTAGGGTTGGGCCGTGGGCCAGACTGGGCTCCATGCAATCTCTGCCTGGCCCCATACTGGATCCCCTGCCACCATGTGCGCTTGGTCTAGCATGCAGGGCAATGGTATCCAGCCCAGGGGGCTCCCCCTCACGTCCAAGAAATTTGACAGCAGGGGAGTGGCAACCAAATTTCCAGACCCATGGGGAATCCCAGAGGCCTGATGACATGACTTTGGGGACTGGATTTGGTCCAGTGGTGGTGGGTTGAGCACCAGTGGTTTAGATGGTGGATCCTGCTTCCAGCTGGCAGTTGGACAAAATGCAACTTCTGTAGCTCCCTGCCAGGCAGGTGTTTCTAGGAGCCTGCGGCTCAACACAAGAGGCAAGGATTTCTCTGGGCCTGGTGCTGAGGGGCCTACAGTGCTGAGCCGCAGGGTAACGGCACCAGCTTCCACTGCATCAGCTGCATAGCTGGGATAGAGATGGGCAAGTTTCTGACTATGAGGCATTCGTCATCAGGTCACTGATGACTGCAGATTTCCTTTGCGTTATGCCGTCCATGCGTTCCTGGAAAATGGTGCGTAACTCGAATTTGCACACTGGGAGCCCGCTTTACCATGTCACAAATAGGGATATGTTGCAAAGCTTCGATTGTACTGCCCCCCGCCCCCGACTCATTTCTACCGCTTTTACAAGACCATTTTGGTACTCACCCACGGCAGACGGCGTGCACAAGCATAGGGCCGTGATGAATGTTTAGTGGCAACTACAGACACACGTGTGGCAGACAAGGAGCGAGGAGCACAGACCCACGCAGGAGACTGTTTTGGTGCGTGTTGCTGCCACACTGATCACATATGACTGGATTTACCTCGCACAGAGTGAACTATTCGCATAAAAGGGGTCATCACGGAAAAGTGAACTTGCACATACTGAACGAGGGAAGCCTGTACACCGATATTTCAGGGCTCTATCTATCCTCTGGGGGTGTTTCCCAGGCTCTGCTGGTTGCCCCGCCCCGTGCTGTATATCTCAGGGTGCTCTGAAGCCGCCCCAGAGGCCCTGAGAGTGCTGCAGCCATGGCTGGGCTTGAGCCAACGCTCCTGACCCCTCGAGAAGTCGCCAACTCCCGCGAGAACGGGCGGGAGGAGGTGGAGCCTCGCTGAGCGCCCTGCTCCTCGCAGCACTGTGCGGCGGAAGGGGGCGGGGCCTCGCGGGAGGAGCTCCCAGACCCGACATCTCGCGAGAGCCGCACCGTGTACTCTTCTCACCCCCCAGAGCCGAGGAGTCTCGCGAGAGGGGGCGGGGTGGGGCCTGGCGCCAAGCTCCTCCCCCTTCCCGGCGCTGGTGCCGGCGAGCGCGGCCTGCGGG